AAGGTTACAAGCTTGTCAGAGGCGTTACAAAATGATATAAGTTGTTACAGTGAGCGCAGGGTGTGAAAATGTAACCTCTGCTTTGGTAGTATTTTCTACAGTGACACATATGATAGTTACATTTTTGTCAGTTTCTTCAAGAGTATATATTTGGTCCTATTTTGTCAGACGTGGAGGCCTAAAGGAAACCACTGGGAACTGCTCCAGAGATTTGTCTAGAACCATGAAAGTGACTGACATGTACAAGTGTGCACATATAAAGCACTGAACAGAACTTGTGCAGATTGCTAACCATTCTTTTTTGTTTTGAGAAACTTGTCTAACAATGACAGAAAGACGTTCAAGTGAGATGGTCCCTTATTTTCTTAATCAGCATTTGTAAGTGTAGTTTTTCTGTCATGTCATATTTACGTAAGAATGTGCTTTATTTTTGTAACCACTTTGCATTAGTACACACGTTTTCCTGAAAATGCTGTACATGTAGATGTACAAAATAAATCATTAGTTCAGCTTTGGGACACTTGTTTTTGTTTATGTGAGGTTTTTTTATGTGTTTGGTGGGATTTTCCATTTCACTGGGGAACTGAGATAAATTGTGATCTTCTAGACTTATACTGTACATGTAACATTGACCACTGGTTAGCACTGTCCGCTTTACAAAGATTTTGAAGGTTGGTTTTGACTTCTGCAAAAAACAAAATGCACATCCCTATACGCTGAAGTTTTTATCAAGTTAAATTTACCCTTTAAAAAGGTTGCTCTTACTTGAATAAGATTAACTTAATCAACTTATTCATTTTCTAGCTCATGCTGTCTATGCTACACCTAGACTATCTTTCTTTATCCATGCACAGTCATAAAGAGATTGTGATACAGAGATTTCTTGAGTAGTGACTTCAAATTTCTAGATTATGGAAATTGAGATTAACTGATGTTTTCCTATTGCTGAAGTGTGATGGAACAACTGTCTAAAAATCATTTCTATCTAACCTGATACCTGCAAAAGCACTAAAGAATCTGTCGTGGAAGAAGGCTGGACGTGAACACAAGTGCAGAATACAGGCAAAAAGTTCAGTATGTTTATTGCAGGTTTTGGCAGATGTAGCCCGTCTTTTGTGAGTGAAGCTGCAGAGTTTAATATGGTGGGATTGGTGAGTAGTATCTGGTATGCAGCTTAAACTTTCTAGAATCTCTCTCTCCAGTAATTCTGTCTAGCTGCAGCTCTCCTATTCAGCAGTGGACATCTGCACACAGAAAAACTGGTCAAAGCCAAATCAACAATTTCTTTGGTTACTCGCCCACAGGAGGCACAATTATCTAGCATCAAATGAGGGGATGCCTCCATCTTAACTAGCCCAACTGCAGCCTAGATGTGTAATCAGTGATGCTTCTCGTGTGTGACGTAGTGAGGGTGGAGACCAGGGCAAAACTACTCTGAAACACAAAAGGACAGGAGCAGTGTCACGGGGAGGCATGTGACTTCTAAGCACATTGCAGTGGCTTTAATCTAACTTGTGTATATTGTTGCCACAATACTTTTGAAATCATGAAGAGAGCTGCCTAAAGATTTGCGTTTAATCTTTTTCTTACCTCTCCTCCAGACTGCACCTGGCCTCCATCTGGCAACACCCAGGAACTGCCAAAACCAGACTGGGTCTTTTTGGCTTCCTTTTATGGTCAAGTTCCTAGGAGGGAATGTGCTTTGGGAACATAAATAATCTATTCATTTTAAACATGTACACAATTAGGCATTTTCAATATTTGATAGTAAAGGAGTGGGGGGAGCTACTGGCTATTTAGTAAGCAGTTGCAACTGCTTTCAAGGACTACTGTGTGCTAGGTCATGATAGAGACTAGTTATAGTGGTTTATTTTCAGGGGCCCTAGTTACAGGGGGTGTAGTCCAGTGCAGAGCTGTTTCTATTTGGTTTAGGATTGTCTTTAAGACTTGGAGATGTGTAATTTTGGCATTGATTTCTTAAATTATTCTTGAATGAAGACATTGATTTGATGCATGTAAGAAAAAAAAGATTCATTTGTCTTAATTTTTTCCTCCTATCTCCCTACCCTGTGTTCTCAATGAAAAAAAATGAAAAACACAAATAAAAAGAAGGAAAGAGATAGGAGAGAAAAGCCCAACAATTCCCCCTGAGCAAGCACTAGGTGACAGTGGGGAGGAAAACCTCCCTTTAAATAGGAAGAAACCTCTGACAGAACCAGGCTCAGGAAGGGACAGTCAACTGCCGTGACTGGTTGGGGTGTGAGGGTGAAAAATGATGAAGAGGGAGGGGAGACCAACAGAGAGATGATCGGAGAGGAAGGGGAGAGAAAAGGTGGAGGAAGACGAGACTACGCCTCCTCATGATCAAGTGAGAAAGCAGGAGAATCCTTCCTTTTGAAAAAGCAGAAGCGTTTTTTTTTTTCTTCTTCTTTTTCAGTCACTGTTCCTGGAGCGCTGAGATTTTTTATGTCATCGATTGCTTCTGCGTTTCCCCTCTCAACTTTCTTGCATCTTTTCTACAGTTTTTCTAATTTTGCTTGTTTTTCTTCAAGCTTTTCTTTCAGTTCTTTTTTTATTTTGCCTCCTGTACTAGCTTTGCCTCGTGTCTGTATTCCTCCGTTGTACTTGGTTGTACATGTCTTCTAACTCCTGATTTCTCCAGTGCATTTTTTGAAGCGAACACTGTAGGTCTTTATGTGTTTTCTCTTGTTCTTATTTCTTGTTCTCAGGTCTATAATCTGCTGCCGTACTTATCCAAATATTATTTCCCAGCCTTCATTTATAATCTGAATGTTGGGCTGTTATTGTGTATTGTTAATTTGTTGGTCTTGTCAGTTCATGAGAAAGCCATTGTGCGTTTCTTCCAAGTGTTTATTTTGGGGCTCCATTTGTCTGCACTTCTCCTCTAGTTAAATTTTCTCTGCTTGCATTTGTTGAACCCTGTTCTCTAGATTGTGGTTTTCTTACTTTCAGCTAATGCCCTTCAGATGGATAATACGTCTTCTGGGGGAATTTAACTGGTCACCTCAGAGAGGAGAGTCAGGGGAAACTTTTTTTTGTGGTGTTTTCTCTGAAACATGTTGGAGTCTTGATACAGTGACTGTAGAAGATCCAATTATGGATGGATGGATAGATAGGTTGCAAAGATGACCCCCTCTCCTGCCCCGCTCACACTCTGTTTCTCTCTCACACACATAACATCTTCCTGCCCTATTTAACAATTTAACAAGTTAAACTGTATATGGACATCTTCAACTTTCCGCACTTCTTCCTGGCTGAAGAATTACAAAATATTAATAATTTTTTTAGTTAAATAAATATCTACTATGTTACCAAAATTATTTATTATTAACCGAAAACGACTAGTGTTTTGGTAACTTTTCAAATCATTCCTTTAAGAAATGATGCAATAAACCACAATGAAAAAACCTCAGTAGACATAGAATTGCATTATTGGAAAATTTTCCATAAGATATCAAAAGTGAAAGTAATTATTCTGCAGAAATACATTCCCAATCGATGTTAAAGTAATTAATATTACTGCTTCATATGTTTCAGATTGAGCTCATTTTAAGTACTCCATATTTTGTTTAATGTCCAGCATCATTTTCTATAAAACATATGCTCAACATATGCTTTAATATGCTCTTTTAGCTTTTCAGCTCCACCTTTTTGCTTTTGTTTCCATCTTTATCAGCCATATCTTCCACACTAAAACAAATTCTACAGGGTGCACAAGCGAGGTAAGGGAGGGTTGTGTTAAGAGACTTGATTGGGCAATACAGTGTAATAAAAATTACCAATGGGCTGGTGTCAGAGTGGGGCTAGTCTGTATAATAAGTTTACGCTAGGCTCCAGTCTTGGCTTGTAAAGCTTGATTTAGACTTCTGCTGGAAAGCTACGTCCTAACCATGTCATTCAAGTCGTTGTGGTATGCATCAATCTGACATGTAGTTACATTGCTTGAGAGGTGCATATCAGGTTACGTAGAAGGTTATGGCACAGGGTTAAAATGAGTTAGAGTGTAAAATACACAGAAATTACATATAAGCAGTGCCACAATATTTTGACACCACCCTCTTTAGCATCCTTGTAATAAGACAACTTACATCCCTTCAAGGAATAAAACAACCCTGAGTTCCCTGATTGACAAAAGTACCAACACAATTATTTTTATGCTGGATTTGTTTAGACTCACAAAAATAATGGATCTGTCAATCTTATTAATCTCTGGCTCTTTTTCACAACATGACTTTTGTCCCGTCTTCCTCCCCTCAACCCTAACCTGTCACAGCAGAAGGCCGCCCCTCCCTGAGCCGGGTTCTGCCAGAGGTTTCTTCCCACTGTTACCAAGTGCTTTCTCATTGGGGACCGTCTGATTGTTTAGTTTTTGTTTTTGTTTTGTGTGTGTGTGTGTGTGTATTATTGTAGTGTTTTTACTTTGGGGTGACTGTTATTGTGATTTGGTGCTATTTAAATGAAAGTGAATCAAATCGAATTTAACTGAAATTGCTCTATATTTCACATATTGTGGAAGTTCAAGCACCAGAATTTGTGCAAGTCCATCGCTAAAAACAGTAATGCATTACACAATGACTGTATAAAATAATCAAAATACTTTACTAAGCCATCATAAAAAAATAATGTGGTCACAGCTGGTCCCAGACAGTAATAACTGTAACTGACTAAATTTAATTAAATATTACTAAGTTACAAAATCTAATAAAATACTTCTAATATACGTAAATAGGTTAATTATAAATATCCCAGTATATAGCACAAATTATATATATGGTTGATATTGAGATGCCCCTATTTTCAAACTATAAAACGTTCTTTTCTCTGTAGAGCATGTGTATAAGGGTACACAACTATAGAAGTATGTATTTGTGCATTAGATAAAGATGACCAATGACTGATTTTACAGTCAATGGTCTCATCGCTAATTAGCCAATCTCAGTGTGACCTGGAAGTGTGCGTGGTGAAGCGGGCGGTGCCGTCTTTCTACATCCGGTATGCTCGAACCTCTCACGAGCAGCGAAGGCAGACGAAGAATGGAGAGAGCCGCTCGGCTGTTCTAGCTTGAGACAACAGCAACAACGGGCAGCACAGAAAACCTCCCCATCACAGGCGGCGTTTTTTGTTGCGAAAAACGACAAGCTGTGCCCCGACTGTCTGGATTTCCCACAGCGAAGGTGAGCCTGAGGTGTTTGCTAGCCAAGCAGCATTTAGTTGCAGGCTTTTGATTCTTGGCTAATGTTTTCGCTGCTAACGGAGCTAATTTCCTTGTTGCACTCGGTCCAGCTGTCACCTAGCCATCAGTAGGTGCTAGTTAAGGCGTTGACACCAGGCAGAGAGAGGGGCTGCTACATTTGCTGCCCTTTAAAACTACTCGGTTTTCATAATTAACATGAAAATGTCCATCCTGTGATTTTTCTCACACTATATTTTGATCCAGTCCAACCATTGTGGCTAAGTAATGTTTGCTAACGTTAGCTTTATGGCTGGTCAGTCTGGTTTGACGGTGGCGTGAAGGTAATTTTATTAAGCTGATGGTTCGTTTACCTACTGCTCGACTTGACCGACACTAATGATACGGCTGGCTTTGAAACGCTGACGTGCAGCTGCCACCTCTCTTCCTTGTTTTGATTTAACCTTAGGCCTGCTGGTAAAGGATCGATCAGCCTCAGCTGCCTCTAACCAGCACTTCCTCACATAGAAAACCTAGTGCCTTGACTGCTTACTACAAGGTGAGGGATGCTCACAATAGGAAAGGTTGAACCCAGGGCCCCTGTCAGCCTGCTCGTCGTCGGCACAGTTGTAAATGTTGGATCTGGTCTGGTCGTCCCAGATGCGCACGCTCGGGATTAAAGTCAGTTTAAATTTTACTTCTGTGTGTACCTCCAGTGTACATTTTCTTTGCTACTAGTCATATTTTAATACACGTGGACCGTCTTAAAGTAAAGTGTCTTGCTACTGAATCAATATGGGATGACTTGTGATCGGTATTTTGCAATAAAATAACGGCGTGTCATGCTCCGTAAAGCAGCTCTGAAGGTCACATTTTATTGATATATTAGTAGTTGAACAATTGTCTAGTATAAGTCATCGTGAGAACATGATAAATGATGTGAAATAGTTTGTGTAGAGCTCAGGCTCACTGTTTGCACATCTTAGGAAGATCCACGTTTAGGCAAAGTGCAAATAGATTAGGTTTTTTTAAAAACTTGTTTTCGCATCTGGAACATGTTTGTTCAAACTGGTGAATTTACAATTGCATGATACACTCTTGATGATCTTGCAGTATTTGCACAATCATTAGTTCAAACCTAAGGAAAAATATCACATTGCCATGCTTACAATTTATTTTTATGTGTTTATTTATTGTTGTTATTACTGTGTGAATTCTCAGAGGAGGAAGAGCATGGACTATAAAAATTCAGTTCTAGTTCATTAGAGCTGCTGCCTTTAAGGAGAGAGGCAGCAGCCTTTAGCTGGCACGGCCACAGTAGGAGTCTGCACTGTTGGCAGGCCCCCCTCTCAAGCTGATCTTTCTACTGAAGGTTAATTACTGCACTGAGAGCCTTTATGTTTCCATAAAAAAATGGTTTAAAAAAAAAAAGTCAACAGATTAGTAATTTTTAATAGATGCTAATCAGCTTGAAGCATCTTTCGGTTTCTCGTAGTATTTTGACAGGCACATTTGTGCACTGTAATCAAGGTTTTTCAAATATATTTTCAGTGCCTCCTGACTGTGATACTGAAGGAAAAGTACTCTTGAATAGTTCTGAGTGTTAAAGCTGCCTATTAACCAATTGCATGAAGTTTCCTAAGCTTTTGATTGCCAGTAAATGGTAATCCAATAAAATCTTGTGCTTCTGATTTGACTGCAGACAAATTAGTTTTTGATTCTCTCCACATTTCTATATTTCAGCGGCTTTGAAAACATGCCGTCATAATACATTACTTGGATATTTCTGCAAATGCCACATTCCTCCTTCATCATTTCTGGATTAGAACTAGAAAATAAAATGCCTCGATGCACATTTTCAGCTGAGAGAATATCAGTGATGTGACAGATATGTGAGATCAGCAACAGCAACTCAACTCTGAAAGCATCTCCAGTAATATGACACATTTCCTCTTCATGCACAGTGAGCGTCATTCAGAGTTGTAAAGATTTAGGATATCCCCATTGTGGAGACAGTCTGCCCTACCTGAACAGAGTAGCATTTAAGTATTCAAAATATGCAAAGGTTTAAGTGCATTAAATGGATCGTTTGTAAGTCTCTCATCCTGAGATTTAGTTTAGTGGTTACAAAGTGACTGCAGTTATTTATTTTCAGCTAAAAAGGAAGTGGCAAATCTAATTTGTACATTGGTGTTTAAGAATCCAAAATATTTATGAGGTTTTTTAAATTTTCTTATTGAACCCAATAATTAGAGCAGAATAATTACAATATTGACAGCTTTAATGCAGTCTAATGAAATGCCATTGTGCAAATGAGCACATCATAAAACATAGGCTGTGCCATGACAAAGTCAATACCCTCATAAGGAGGGAGGCTGCATTTACTGCTAATCTGTTCTAGTGCAGGATAAAACTAAATATAGCATCTGCTGGAGTTTGGCCATCTGGTCAAAAAATAGTACTGATTGATGATCAATCAAAATCATAATTTTCTCAATATATGTAGTTGAACTCATATCGTATGATTAGCATCAAGTGTCCTCTCAGATGTTCAGACTACATCTTGAGCTTCTTTTGACATGTTACATTAGACCTTTCGCCACTATTCTGTTTACGAAAGAAGTTGTACATTAGGTCCAGAGGGACATTGAGTCCACTGTTAATGTGTTTCTCCAAGCTTATCAAGTCAGTCAGTCAGGGTGTTGGGATGATCCATGTACCCAAGCAGCAAGACGGGCCACTACATGACTGTTTCAGCTGTGTGGTGTCAGGTCTCTATCCATTGTGGTAGTAAATATTTAGCATAGTGTGCTGTTTTTCCTTTTCTTGGCTTACTCTCGCCATAATGTGAATTAGTGTGACATTACCTCAGTGCGTCATGCTATCTACAGAGATGTTGCAAGTGTATGGGTTTATGTTTTTATTAAGGATTTTACTTATGATTATAGACATCTCAATAACTGGAAGTTAAGGCTCATTTCATTAGGTAGGTGGTTCAAAGTAACCACCTGATTTGTTTCAAGATGGATGCTGAGTTCCTAAATTTGCTTAATGATTTAAAAAAAATGTATTTTTAGCATCCAATAACTGAGAAAAAAATATTTGGGGTAATTGATTACTTAATTTGCATTCATTTATGATAAGGAGCTGTTTTTGTTTTACTCTTTTGTGCTACAAATCAATTGCACCCCCCTTCCTTTTTTCAGTGGTTTGCTGACTAAAAGCTCATGCTCCCTAATTTAGCTCCAGCTGAAATTACTGAAAGAGAGCCGCCTGTTAACCAGCTCCAGCTACAGGAAGAAAACCTTACAGGGTTTTTAGAGCTAAACCTGTGTGTTGAAGGCTGCCGCCTACCTTGGTCTCAGGATCAGTCAGGGCCTAACAACCTGGCAGGTGACGGTACTATGGTGCAACATTAGTGGCTTAGTGATACAGCTTTTGGGTTTACCCTGGTTTTTCACTGTTTGCCTCCTAGCCTGATCTTTTACTTGAGATAAGCGATTAACAGCTAAGAAGTCTCAGTTCTCGAGAACATGGTGTCACCACAAATTGATGATATCACAGACCACCTCCTTGCGCAGATAGAAAGGTTTTTGATAAGTCTTTGTCTTCAGTAGTGCTTCAGTAAGAAATATAGATCCTTAGGAGTGACCTGCTTTTTTTCTTTTAGGCCTAAAACATTTAAATAATTTTGTACTGTATGCCTTAAATTAATGACCCTAATGCCGGACACCGATCTGTACTTATTAACCTTATATTAAATTCTCATGTAGACTAAGCCTACATTTGAATTATAACTATTCTTGAATTGCTCTTAGACTGTTAAACACCATGAAGGCTGCAGATGAAAGAGTGAGGCTAAAGATTAATTGAATGGAATAACAATTGTAATCCGACTGCTTCTTCTATAATAATTAAAGAGATTTAATGTTGATAAGTGTGATAACTTACAGTCTTCATTTTTGCCAGGTTTCCTTCCTGGTTTCAGATAGTCCAAATTTATTGATGTTGTAGATGTTTTCAATTCAGAGCAAAGCTTAACGCCCCCATGTTCATACATTGCCTTTAATGTTAAACTACTCCTTTCATGTGCACTTGGTCCCCTGCTTTGGGGCAATAGTTGTATTGTTTTCAAATGGTTCTCTGCCCAGAACCATGTGTTTAAGTTCTTAATTATTATTGTTTTAATTATAGAATTTTATTTTCCTGTGTAAAATTATTTGCTTCTTTTCATTAGAATTATCAATGTTTCTGATTGGTCATACTCAGCAATACCACTTTAAAAGAATGTGTTTCATATTAGACTTGGAACCTCTGTGTTTACTTATCCAGTTTTGCGTTTGTGTGATCACAAGGCCTGACTGTTGATGTTGGGGTAAAGCTACGTAGAGTGAATGATTTTTGGTTATTTGCTTGCTAGCTACTTTAGGGCAAGACCCTATGGTCTACACCCTGGACAAGTTGCCAGTATTTATTATTTGAATGATATCTTGCATTTAAAAAATCTATTGCAACAAGACACATTTATGCTAAAATAGAGAAGCAAAATGCTGATGTGAAAGTCATGACAGGGAAGCTTTTATACACCTTGGTTTTGTTCTTCTCTCTTCATCTTAAGAGATTTTTTAAAAAAGCAACGAACCCCCCCCCCCCCCCCCCCCCTCCCCAGTAGCTTTGTCATTGAAAACTCCTTTAGGCCTACTTTTTACTGTACAGAGATCAGGAATCAACAAGGTCATTGATGAAGAGCCTAACCTGTAAACAGAATTGATAATGGCCCTGCTACCAATAAAAGCTTATCAATACCTGTAACAAAAGGTCTGACTTTCCCACACAGGCTACCCCGCATCGGCTAACCAAACAACTGAGTGCTAATTGTTAGCAATATCAGATCTTCACATAGCCCATCTCTACTAGTCACTGTGAAACTGTAGTATGTTTATTATGGATGTAATATATACATCCATAATATTACATGTACACTGTAGTTCAGTAGTTCTCTCATCTTGCCAGAAATGTTGCGTTTGGGTAAACAAGAATCAGTTCTCATTAAGAGTGTTTCAGATTTGACTGGTGTCTGTTAGTCACCTAGGTCTGAAAATATCTGTTCCTTTTATTGATCTCTGCCAAGAACCATGAGGCACGAGACAGTAACTATTGTAGACAGGAGATTTATTTTTCATTCATTCATTTATGTATTTATTTAGAAGAATACATTTGAAGAAGCACCAGCAACCTATACTTTTTTGTTTATTTTCAATACATGACATCTTTGACTGCTACAGTTCAATCAGTAATCTGGGATTTGATATTATAAACTCCTTTCCTTTCATCTATTTCTAAGAAATACATTTACTTTTATAGGATGCCAGAAGGTGTGTATCCTCAAACATAGCTTCATTTATCAGTAGACACTGTGCCTCCAGCGGGATAAAGGTAGGGGATTCCCATCCTTACATCACAACTAAAGACTCCGTTTATTCAGACCGCAGGTCTTCACAGTGGTTGATTCTCCACAGTATCCCACAATCCAGTAGATTCCCTAAATTTGTTCTCGTCTTTATTAATTAGGGATTGACTAAAATTCATCTACACAGATTGAATGTGTCCAGTGTAATAAAAAGATTTATTTTGTAGGTCCTTTTAGACCCATAAGAGATACCTTTGTAATAATGTGACCTATTCCTCTTCAGCTATTTTTTCCTTTAATCAGGAAAAACACATGCAGTACAGTTAATAAACCAAACTAAATGCTAATTATTACAGTATTTAGTGCTGTGCATCTTTGCTGTTAAAGATTGAAAGTCTTTTTTGCAGCGTGAATTATTTTTGTGCCTTTGATGTTTCTACATGGTAATCCGCAGGTTAGGCATGCCAGGGCATGTTTATAGCATAGATGATCTATGGTAGTCTAGTGCACCTGGCTAAAATAAATTATACATTTATAAAACAGACCACATTTATGTTTTATCTCCAAAAAACTAAACAAAAGGAAAGAAAAAAACTAACAAACTTACTCAGTTAGGATCAAATTATGTTCAAGTTTCATACAGAGCGCTGTCCTCTTGATTGACAGACTGATGAGATCAGCTCAAGTTGGTTTCATCAGTGTAACGTGTATTATTCACATAGCCACCCATGTCTTTTAAAAAATTGAATTAAAATGTTGTTATGTGGTTAATTTTTGTAGATGTTATATTTTCTGGAAATTTAGTTTTGAAACCTTCATATAAACTGACTAAAAATAAGCGAAAATATGGCTCTCTTACTTGGACAGCATGCTATACTTGAATACAGTTTAGCTTACTGTAATTAAAGCTTGGTATAAAAGGTTTGAATGGTCAAAGGTCAGTTTAGCTCAGGCTAGTTTTGTAGTTATATGTGATTTTACGTAAAGTAGTAAAGTGCAGCTGTTTTTGCGTGAACACACACTCTGTATATAAAAGATGGACCTACCCCCATCAACTGTTGTGAAATCCTGACTTAAATACTTAGGATTTAGTTAACATTTTGTAATACTATTGTTCATGGAGCCAGAAGTGGCCATGGATTGACAGACACCAGCGAATTAGTGATAATTATAGACAGAAATTAAATACTACAGTTTAGTTCAACTAAACTGGAGTTACAAACATTTTGTGCAGTTAACAATAAAGGAAAATGTATTATCTGTTAGATCATTTCATTACAAACACTGTAAAAGTGAGCAACATAACAGATGCAGTTGAGAGGTACAGCTAAGTAGCTCGAATTAGCTTAGCTGGTGTAAACCCTGGTGCATGCTGGGTTAGTGAGGCCTAAAAATGCTTATTTGCACAATGGAAGCTGCTCACCATTGGGCCTTGCTGCAAGCTTGTTTTATAGCGATGTTGCGCTGTTCCTGGTTTTATGTAATAGTAACACTGCACAGTTGCCCTTGAGAGCAAACTAGCTGTCTTTGATGCTGAGATCTGTGCAGGCAACACTGAGCGTGAGTCATCCAGAAGCCCACACTTTCAGCAGCAGTTTTTCCATGCTCAGGAATTACAGCATTGTCATGAAAACAGTAGTAGCTGATGTTTTTCCTCAAAACATGAAAAGTTGTTTTCAGTATTGAAGAGGTATTTTGAGTAAATAATTAGCAGAATAGTCAATCGGCCTAATTAACAGGCAACGTTTTGTCGTGCTTCAGCAGTGTTATAATTTGTTGAGAATGATTAACAGGATTTTCCCAAGAGGCCTGCAGTTGATAAAAAGCATATGCCATAAGTAATTGTTCAATGCATATTAACTGCTTTTTTTTTCTTCTGAATTCTCATAATTTAATGTAATCATGTAAGGAAAGAAGTTAAAACCAAAAAGGATTCTACTGAGTGCTCAAAACAATCGGATCAGTGTCCATCAAATTGAGCTTCGGTGCCCTTGCAAGCCAACATGGCTTTATATAATTGTTTACATAATATTCTCCTCTGACTTTGTCTGGCGGGGTTTAGCTGTGGGTAGTGAGATGCCTTCAGAAACACAAACTATGACTTAAGGTTTTTGTGTTGATGCTCAAACTACCTGCTGTGTTTTCTATGACCACTGTGACCTGATTACTATCTCTTCACCCAGCAGCCTGTTAGAGTGAGCCATTTGTCCTTGTTTAGCACTGTGTACTTGTAAACACAGTTTTTTGTTTTGTTTTGTTTTTTGTTTTGTTTTTTTCTTTTCTCTTTTTTTAACAGCCTGTAAACGACTTTCAAAGAGAGTTAAACCTGGTCTCTTATGGGGAAGTTAGATTATGTGTTGTTGTTGTTGTTGTTGTTGTTGAGGAATCACTATCAGTGAAATTTTATGACCTAACATGTAGTCTGGATTTTTCATTTTGTCATTAAAAAACCTTTTGTATTATAACCCCATGAAGTAAAGTGTGATTTTTTTTTTTCTCTCTTTTTTTTTTCTTTTTTAGATTTTTCATCTAATAATAGCAGTAGAGAAAACATAAAAAATTAATATCTAACACCTAAACATTTGAGTTTCATTTTCTGGTTCATTTTAATCTGTGATCATCTATATTCTTTTTGATGCAATGAGGTTTTTAAGAGTTTAATCAGGGTAAAATGTTCTTTATTAAAGGGTAATATCTTATGTATTGCCATATGCTGTTTGTTACAGGTCTTTCACCTTCTCCTTCCTGTGACAAATGTCGAGGCCTAACATCTCTTAGAGGTGAGGGTGAGGACAGGTCGGAGTGTCGGTCAGCTGCATCAAGTTTTGTCCCATGAGAGTGACTGTACCATCCAGGCACCTCCAGTGACCAGGGCTGTGGCTGTGGTGGGCCCGGCCCAGGAGGCCTTTTTGTACATCACTCCAGGCTCCTGCTGACCTGTGCTGCTCTCACCATGGATCAGCAAAGAGACAAGTATGGCGACCGACAAAGGAGCACGAAAGTGTCCCAGGGAGGCCGCAGCGGACACCCGTCGCGGCCATCTGGCTCCTCCAGCTCCTCTGGGGTTCTCATGGTGGGACCAAATTTTCGTGTGGGCAAGAAAATCGGTTGTGGAAACTTTGGCGAATTGAAGCTTGGTAAGCTGAATCTCAATCAAATGTTAAAATATTTATGCAGGACATGATTTGCTAGCAGACATGGATGCTGCAAAGGTTGCTGGAAGTATGTCATCTAATCTATTACAGAGTTATCTTTTCTCTAAAATAGCGTAATTTATTTTTAAAACATCTGAACCATGCTTTTGCTCTCCTGTCTTATTCCAGGAAAAAATCTCTACACAAATGAGTATGTAGCTATTAAACTGGTAAGTGCACTCTTGCTTTTACTGCTTGACTTCTCACATCTGCAGATGATTTTTAGAATCAATTTTAATGCTAAAGTCATTACTTTTAAAGCGCTTCATTATGTGAAAAAGGTCCAATACGGAAATTAGTAATAGTAGGATCAGAAATGTTGGTACAGAAAACATTGAAAGCATGGTTTGGTTTATTGTAATTGCTTGAATATAACAGTCAGCGATAATGAGAATCTGAACTAGATGATTAGCACATTGAAAACAGAATAAAACAGATGCTTACTGTTAGTCTTTCCTCTGTGTTCAGTATTAGGTGTTGATTTTAAAGTGATTTTAAGATGGGCTATTTTGACTGCAATTTGCAGTGGTCCAATCGTAGTGTTGTAACTGTTCTTGAGGAGAAATGTGAGTGAGGTGTAGATGCTCAGCTAGACGTGTCTCTCCAGCGGCTGCTGGACTGGAAATCATGGCTCCTGACTCATGCCCTTATTATTGCTCACCAGAGAGTTGTAATTTGCTACAGAATCAACGTATTAAGCTTACCAACCAAATGGCTTTTAGCTACTCGCTCTATTGTATGGTGTGCTGACACTTGAGCTGAAAAAAAAAAAGAAGTTTCAATTTAAAGTGTGTTGAGTTTGAAAGTTCAGAACAGTTAACTGGAAATAAAGTTTAGAATTTGGGGGCACAGCAAAGTGACTGTTTTAGGTATATTTTTAAGTATATTCAAACTATTTTTCTTTAGCTCAAATGTGATGTTTTGTTGAAGTGTTGCTCTGAATATTGACCCATACACAAACATTTGCAAGGTGAAATTCATAGCATTAAAACTGGATTTATTCCAGTGTTTATGTCCGATTTATTGAACACTGGTCTGATGTGTTTACCATTCAGGAACCAGTGAAGTCGAGGGCACCACAGCTGCATTTAGAGTACCGGTTCTACAAAACACTTGGAACTGCAGGTAAGGTCACAGATTTGTTTTCTACTCCCGTCTGGTGGTTTTATGTGACTTCATGATAGTGATTTGACTGTTATGGAAGATCGGCCTAAAGATTGCATCATTTCCACAACAAGTGATTACTCTTCTCAGGTTACATATTGAAATTAAGCTGACTTTAATCTCCGGGAGTGTGTATATGACTGGATGAATGCCTACGTGCATAGAAAGCATGTTGAACAGTGACCTTGGGTGAAAATAGTATTGCCAGAGGTGCAGTTCACTATGAAAGGTGGTTTCTATTTTCACTTCCATTGGGCTGCTTTGCTTCTGTTTTGGCAGTGAGTGCCAGAGTCTGTGCTGTGCTTTGGATCTATAATGCTTCATTAGGTGGCAAGAACTTGTTTAGAGATTCAGGTTGAAACAGAAAAATAATTTTTGTATTTTGCTGTGATCAGTTCAGGCGCATGAGCCTGAACGGACCTTGCTTCTGAAGTCGCAAAACTCAACTCTATATGGACGTCTTCAGGTTTTGGGCAAGTTGTTGAAGCACAGAGAGTGAAACACAATGTTTCCCACTCAGGATTACTGTAGCCCTTTCAACTGGCTCAAGGGCTTGGCTCAGTTCATTAGTCAGGTTCTACTGTTTAGGCTTCAGATCAAGATAGTGTTGTTTTCCTCATGGAGCCACTGCTGGGTCAGACAGTGCAGCAGTCACAAGCCATCTTTGTTCCAGAAGCCTGGGTAACCTGATAAATACTATTCTAGTGAGTACTTACATCTTGAAGCATGTGCTGTGGTGTGCTCATTTGCAGCTGCTTATCCTTTAGCTCAGTGAATGCCATCTAATTGCTGATGCCCGTCCATGCTTTTCTACCAAAATCTTTACAGCTGCTACAACATTAGCACCATTGTCATGGACAACAGCTTTTTCTTTCTGTGGTGGAATGTCGAATTTGACAAGACCGTCCTCAAGCCATTCTCCAATAGGGCTGTTCGATATAACGATATATATCGGATGACGATATAAAAACGTCTATCGTTTCCTATGACGCTACCGTTTGTTTCATGGTGTCGTAAAATAAACTGTTTACGGCAATATTTTTTTTCATTGTTTTGATGGTCACTGTAGCGGCTATATTAATTTCTTAAAGTTCTCTTATATTTAATATAACCACTCTACGGACCGACAAGCGCGTGTTGTTAGCAACAATGACTGTAAAACCATTGTGTGGCTCCGCTGTCCGCTTGTTTGTTTTCCCACATAAACCTTTCACAATAAAGCTCAAGATCCTGTTGAGACTTTTTAAAATAAAGAATCACGTGAAAGAGTATGCAGAGAGTTTATGGATGAGAAGCAAAAAAGAGCCGTCAGGTGCTAAAAAATAAACCTTAGACTCAAACTTTGAAAGAAAATGGTGGCCGTTACAACTTATGTCTAAAAATGTATCGTTTCATGCATCCGTTAAAACACTGGACTCCATGTAAAGGACGCCCAGCTGGAAACACTTCACGCAAGTTGCCCGAGATTCACAGAATTTACATAAAATGTTACATTTTGGTGATTTATATCGTTGCCAGGACGATAAATGTCTTATATTGGGATATGAGATTTTGGTCATATCGCGCAGCCCTAATCTCCAATATATGCAGCGTGTGTTCTCGTCAGAAGCATTGTTATCAGTCTGTGGGTCTCTATTCACCAATCCTTACGAATAATGTGAAACATCACCCCTAGATACGCCTCTGTAGCGAGGCTCAAGCTAAGGAGTGCAAGGCTCAGTCTCCTGCAAGCTTAAATTATGGTCTCACAGAAGTGTCAGTTAGGGGTTAACACCCACCACAAATGTATTCTAGTGCAGTCCTCCAAAATCTCTGCTGCATGTCCTAATCAATCAGGATTTGACTGACCTAATCGTCAGACGAGCTGGCTCAAATAGGGAAGGGAGTGACAGTGGGAGAAGCTTGGGGGAAAAAATAAATCAAAGATCAGAAATGTGTTGTTTTAAAGCTCTTTGTATGTTGTAACTTTGCTCTTCTCTGTGGCTGGCTGATGGACCATCAACAGCATGAGTAAGAGTAGCCCAGAGACTGGCTGTATGACAACAAACCCTCTGTGCTGGTGGACTGTCAGTCCATAATTGCCTGCGAATTGCCTTTGCCCTACCCCTGCTCAAGTGTGAAACAAGCATAAAGGGCAGTTTTTTTTTTGTTTTTTGACCTCTTCATAGTTTACTTTCAGGAAGTAAGTTCTTGAAGTAACTGTGTACCTGGGAATGAAAGTGGAAATTATATTCAGAAGCCCTTTGTCTTCCACCATTGAGTGTTCAAAACGCAAATCAGCAGCATGCTCAGCTGAACATGGTGCAGCTGTCTGAACAAAGTTTTTTGCATACAACTCTGTGACTTACTGAAAAGGACAGTAACAAATAATTCATTGTCCAACAGTGGCTTAGTTTTACTGGTATAGTATATTTTTACTGGCATCAGAAAAAGTTTAGCTTTTTCTTTTGTTTGAAATGGTCTCAAACTAGTCTTCATCTTTGTCTTGTTCCACTATTTTATTCTTTCTCCATCACACCATTAATCATGATATAATTTTGAGGCTATATTTTTTTTAATCTATTTGTATATATTATCAAGTCTTATATATTTCGTTTGTTTTTTTTCTTTCCTTTTTTCTAAGTAGCTTGTGTAGTTGAAAACTGAAAACGCTTGCATTGTTTGATTAAGCTGACATGGTGAATTTTTAGCAATGAGTTGGTTATTTACATATTTGGCAAAGCAGCATAACATTCATTCAGACCTGTACTTTCAAAAATCTGGCCAGTCTAAGTCTCAATCTTTGCACTTTCTTTTTGGCCTGTCTTGATGTTTCATAGGGAAATGTGAATCTTAAGGTTGTAAATGTTCTCCTATTGTAACCAGTTAGACCAGTTAGTCATGGACTTAACTTATAAAAAAAACTTCAAGGAACTAAAAAAACAACCCAATTACCCCGCAGCCCAAAACACAACAATATTATTATTATTATTATTATTATTGTTATTCACTCATAATGCCTACAATTTGTCCCTTGCACCGTTTGATTTGTAGTGTGAAACAGTGATTTTAGTTTTAATGGTACCCACACTGCCAGCCATTTTTATTTTTCCAGATTATCCAGATGCCCAACAAATCTTATTATCTAGCTTTCAGAATGAAATGCAAAGCAATAACTGACAACTTCTCGGTTTGTCATAAAAGATTAGTCAGGATTTGCTGACGCATCACTGTTACAGCAACCACTAGCAAGAATGTTGGCAGGATCAAATGAGCACCACAGAGAATGAAATTAAGTCATTTTTTAAGTGTTGGTACTAAAGGAAATGGGTGTGAAGGCTAGAAACAATGGAACTATGGAAAAATCTTTTTTTTTTTTTAAAACAGTATCCACGGTTGTCTTGGTAAAATGGGTACAATAATAATGGATACATATCAGATATATTGACCCAAACGAGCTTTTGAGGTCATTTTGTTTTTGTTTGGTTTTAATTTGTTACCTAATGTGCTCTTTAAAACATAGGGATGTTACAGTGTTTAGGGATGACCCCAGTAACAGTTTGTCATGGAAAATAAAAGCCTTTTTTTGTGTCGTGGGTGATCTTTGATGTGCTTTTTTGGAGCTCTACATGCATATGTGATAACCCAACAGGGAGTATAATGGCTATTGTTTTGCAAAGGCAAGGGCTGGAAAAGGCCAACTGTGCGGAAACTCATTAAATATTTAGAGAGTGGGTCTGCCTCTCTTAGTACTAACCTGCCTCTGTCCTCTTCTTCCAGATGGGATAACGTGACCTCATTTCTTCTTGGCTGTGTACTGTGCTACATTCCTCTCAGCCAATGTGGTTATCACAATGTCTGCATGATGGGGTCTTTATGAATTAATGTGGTTTGACTCAGCTGCTCTGTCAGGTGTTGTTATCTGATGCATAAACAACTATCGCTGGATATTAATGAGGATGATTCAATTAAAAATCATGCATCATCTTGCAGTTAATATTTGCCATCGCAATCGGGTGCATCATCGCTTTGGTTTTACAAGCCAGTGAGATTATGACACAGCATTGTGAGGAGGGCAAAAATGTTTCTAAGAGCGTGAGGGTTTGTTCAGGGGTGGGTGGAGATTGTTGAGCTGTTAAAGGTATTGGCAGGCAGACCTCGTCATGAAACACTACACCATCTCTGTAAGCACTGCAGGGCACAACGAGTAAACATGTCCAATGGTGACACAGTTTAATAGATGTTACCGACATGTAAAGAAAAGGCCAAAGGTTAGTGTGTGTGTGTGTGTGTGTGTGTGTGTGTGTGTGTGTGTGTGTGTTCCAGATGTGACCCTGTGACCCCAAAGCTGGTGCTAAGAGTATATGTTGAAGAAAATTGAGCTTCTTTCATTACACAGTTACATTTGAGTGAAAATAATTAGAGAAAATGAGGGATTACAGAAACCATAAAGTGGTGTTTTTGTGTGCTTTTAGAAATTAAAGAGCCCAATGTTCTTGAGTGTGTTTAAAGGGAGACTTAAAGATCGAAATGAACCACAGGATTTTCCTGCAGCTTTTATTTTTGCATAGAATGATAGAGTATAATGTTTGTTTTTAACACCATAGTTGCTGTATAATTACAGATGTTGATTTCTTGTCACTTAAAGGAAGCACAGCATTTTCAAGGGGATTCATTATGCTCATTTAAACTCCTAGAGTGGCTTTGCACAATTCTCAGTTCAAAATTACCCTTGTTTATCTTGTACTGGACCTGAGTGCAGACCGTTACTTCATTCTGACTGACACAAACCATTTTATTTCCTTCATCTTTAAGACCACCCTCCCTGTTTTCCATTCTTATTACTGGCTACCTCTCTGTGTGCCTGAGAGATCAGGCTCTTTACGACATCAGACAGAGCTAAGAGCAGAAAAAAATGGCCTTGAGAGAGTTAACAGAGTTCAAGCATTACTCGCATATATGCTTACTGCATTACTGGTAAATATGTCCACATCCATTTATAACAGTATGTAGACAGAAAATATGGAAAAGCATGTTAGTGTTGTTGTTTGTTTTTTTGTTAACAATGATATTTATTTCACGAAACCGTTAAAATAATCCAGATTTTATTTCAAATTAATTAATAAAACAGCGAAAACTATATGCTGGTTGTAGAGCTTTTACAGGTGAAATGCAAATATGTGTAACAAAATGCCACAGTAGTCAAATAATGGGTCCAACAAATGAGCACATTGACAGCCATCTGCACAGGTTTAGGGAAAGCAGCCACTGAACAACAGAAGCAAGCCAGCAAATACGTCTGTTAGAAATTGAAAGGGGCCAGCTTGATGTTGATTTGAGGGTAGAGCTGAGCAACCAATTGCAGGCTATATCAGTAGTGCAGGCAGCCAATCTAAGATGGATCTGCACGATGTGCAAAATCTTGCATCAGGCAGGAGCTGGCTGTATTCCAGGAGTTTGGTGTGGAGCTGCTGTAGGACCATCACGAGGAGCCTGCTCACAATTTTCTCAGTGAAACCCACCCATTAGTAATATACAGTCTTTGATTTGCTTATCCTGTTATGGCGGGCTGGAGTCTCTCCTAGCTTACAGTGGCTGACGAGTAGCGCAGTACAGTCTTGGACAAATAAAGTCTCTCACAACACTGACATAAACACACACACACACAGAGCATAGTGAGAAAAGGGAGTTCACGCCTACAGTCAATTTAGAGTCACGAATTCACCAAACCTGCATTATATTAGACTGTGGGAGGAAACCCACGCATGCATGAGGAGAACATGCGATCTTCACACACAAAGCGTCACACACTAATCCAAAATTAATTTCTGTAAGATATTCACAGATATTCATTTTCTTCTAACCTGATTACAAAGTCTTTCTGTGATATGTTTCAGCACTCTTGTTGTGCAATCTGGTCTACAACGCATGTCTACCAAAGAAATGACAGTTATGTGGCATTTTGGTCCTGTGGAAGACTTGATCCTTGACTTTGGGTTGAAAAATTGCACATACAGATTTCAGTGTCACAACCTGTGAATAAATGGGGGAGTGTGTCTTGGCTAGGATGAGCTGTCTTCATTTATCATGCATTCACGAGCAATGTGTAGATTCGTGCAGGTTTTAGGTGCATATTTCCTTCAAAATATTGCTCTAATAAAGGCAATCCCTCAGTGCTGTTCTCCGTATTCAGTCACTTTTGCATCCCGTCCACTTTGTTGAAAATGCAGACTTTGTCTATGCTCTGTGCAAATACTGAAGAAACTCTTACAGTCCAGGTGAGCACACAGAGCAGGCACTGCAATCTTTATGTTTACAAAAATTGAAAGAGAGAAGTGGTACCTGCAAAATTGGTAGCTTCCAACAGCGTTTGAGTTTTCCTGTGGAATTGCTGTGTGTGGTTGTGGACAAAAAGGTTCAGTCTTTAATGTTTGTTTGACTTTTGTGCTGTAGACAACGGTGGTTTGACCATCCCCATTGCTAGTTAAAAGCTAGATCCATATTGTTTTAAACTGTTAATCAACTTATTTACCGCACATCTCCAATCTGACACATTTTTAGGCCTCCCACAGGCACACAGGGTTTCAAGCCACTCATTCCTATGGTACAATTAGCAACCCACAGAACTACATAATGGTGTCCAGAAGCACAGGATGGAGCGCAGCATGACTCCTACATGCCCATATGCTTGCTGACAGCATTTATGCCACCTTTCATACTGCAGTGCATTTCCCATTACCCAGCTGGCAAGCCAAATGTCTCCAGCAACATGTTTAATATAAATACATCAGTGCACAAAATTTGGGAGTATTATTTGTATTTAGCTTTTTGTCGGTTTGTTTTGCCATTATTTTGAAAAACAAACAGTGTCGTCACACCTTCATATGGCTAATAATAATAATAATAATAATAATAATAATAAACCAAACCATTACAATGGGGACTGACATCCTGTCCATAACTTTTTCTTTTCTTTTCTATTCAAGCTTATCCATTGAAAGAGAGATGCAAATTTACATTTCAGTGTTGTGTTTAAAGGGATTATTAGAGCTTTGTTAGATTTCACTATAAAATTATTTGCTTAGGGGTTGTCTACATATCTACATATGTATCTAATCTACATGTATACTTGCATCGCAACACACACACACACACACACACACACACACACACACACACACACACACACACACACACACACACACACGAAAGAAGACGGTTACTTTCAAAGTCGGATGCAAAAGATGATTGATGATTGAAAGACTAGGATCTCTTTTTTTTATTTTTTTATTTTATTTTTTTTAACTTTGCAATTATACTGTATGTCCAAGGACTGAGTATAGCTTTATTATTCTGGATCTCCCTTTGAAGTTTCTTGAGAGGACCTTTTTAATAGGAGTCTGACTAGAAGTAAGCACAGCCAAACTTTGAGTCATGCTTCCCTGAAGGCAGTTAACAGTTTGACCTGATTTCCTGTTCTTTGAAACTAAAGTTCAGGCGGTGGTCAGGATAACAACAAAGAATACAAATGTACCACCAATTACAATTGCATGTACATATAACTGTAAATCCTGCAGATGGAATATATATTTAGATTCTGTGATGTGCCTATAATTGAATTAAAACTGCAGGAGGAAATCAGTGCACATGTTGCGCTTTTTTTTTTTTTTTTTTTTTTCTCCCTCCCCCAAGTTTAACTGTTAGAAGGAGCTTTCATTCCCAGATTACACATACAAAGAATTAAAAGAGCACTAGCCTTTATGCAAGTTCCAGTGGCATCGGACTGATCACCCAAGACTAAATTACACTGTGGCAAGAGGTAAAATAAGAGCCGGGTTGACAGATGGACAGGATTTTTGAGCAGTGAGAGTGAGTAGAGCAGACAGATCATAATTCAGTTGGGAGGTTGTGATATGAGCCAGAGAAAAGATTAGTTTTCAGCTTGCAGAGGCAGAATGACACAGTATTTCACCTCATGGTTAATGTTTACCTAGCAGCGTTCTGTCCTCAACGACCTCGTAGTGCTCCTCCTCCGATCGGTCCATTTGAGGGCCTCTTATGGTTGACCTTGGACCCAAGTTGGAAACGTCATTAGTCAAGGGAGACGGGAATAATAAACAGATTTTAAATACTGTATACAAATGAAAAACACTGAGCTATTTCTGTATGTCGTGTTTACTACCCCAGCTTTTGAGAGTTGTCTTGGATTACTTTTAGATACTTTAAAATATATAACATATATAAAGGCAACTACTGGGTTTGTGTCTCCTTGTAATTTTTATTTCTTTCCTCCTCGTATTTTAGCAGAAGGTGTGCCTCAGGTGTTTTACTTTGGGCCCTGTGGGAAGTACAATGCCATGGTACTGGAGCTGCTTGGCCCAAGTCTAGAAGACCTCTTTGACCTGTGCGACCGGACCTTTTCACTGAAGACCGTGTTAATGATAGCAATTCAGCTGGTGGGTTTGGAGCTTTGTATGACACCATCACAAAAACTTCTACTCACTTACTATGACTGATGAAATCAAATACATTGAACATAAAAACTCTGTGAAATTTCTATGAAATGGTTCAAATCACCATCAGCCTATATGCAGAAATGGCACAAAACTATTTGCTACTTAATATAGTAGCTGGAGTTAGACTAACAAGTTCATAATCAAAAAATTAAATGTTTACTGTAGTTTAACAATTTGCATGGCAAGTGCAGCACAATTTACATTTCCAGTTAATGACATATTTTCAGTAAAATCCATTTTCATACTATAGGAATGAACCCTTGTTTCAAAAACTATCCTGGCTGGATATTTCAGAGGCTTAATCCACCAAGCCTTTACATTTTATAGTATGCTCCAGAATTCCCAGTACAAAATGATTCTTATTGAGTAAACTGTCCATATAGCTGATTTTACAAGTCTTGCCTGAATACCTGAGGTTCTTGGAGCTTGTGGAGAGTGACTCTCTTATTACCTAGTATGCAAATTAGCAATCTGTTAGTATATGCATTCTTCTGGGCAGATTTGGGTAGACTGGAAGCTGTCGTGAAGCGCAAAGCCACCACTGATTCACATCAAGTCTGAGCAGCTCAGAGGGTGTAATAACCCAGTCTTTGAGGCGCCTTATGCACATCAAAATTTCTGACGTTTCATTTTGTCAGCACAAAAACTGCAGTGCTCTTGTAATATAGATATCCTCTGGAAAAAAATGTAAAGACCTCCATAGAAGCTCAGCACAGAGGTTTCCTAAAGACTGCATCGCAGCCACCTCACATCATGAATTTATTATGTTGCTCACCTTTAATTTTTTTCCTAAAAAAAGACAGTGATTCCACTGTAAGTGCAACAAGTTAACCTTAAGTGTTAAAAAGTTGTTGTGCTTTTTTTCTTTTAATAAACCATAATGCTGAAATTCATTATAACTGAGAAAATAATGTCAACTTGGTTCAGCAGAAAAACCCATTTTCAATAACTGTGACTCTGATTTAGTGGCCAATTTAAGGAATTTTGTTCATTTACCATGACTGATGTGTTCTTCATCACCAGATTTCACGAATGGAGTATGTGCACTCTAAAAATCTCATCTATAGAGATGTAAAGCCTGAAAACTTTCTCATTGGACGGCAAGGAAATAAAAAGGAACACATCATTCACATCATTGACTTTGGCCTGGCCAAAGAGTACATCGACCCCGAGACCAAAAAACACATTCCCTACCGGGAGCACAAGAGCTTAACTGGTACTGCGCGATATATGTCCATCAATACACACTTAGGCAAAGGTAAGAATGATTTTATTGTTGTTGTTCTGGGACGTCTGTTTGTAAAAGAGATGCTTTGGGACATAGTTGTTGAATTGTGTCAGTGAGATGTTATATCTATTGATACAGAGCAAAGTCGGCGAGATGACCTGGAGGCTCTGGGCCACATGTTCATGTATTTTCTTCGTGGGAGTCTACCTTGGCAAGGGCTAAAGGTATGTAAAGTATATTGACAGTTTCCGAGATTCTTTCATCAGAACTCTAGTCATTGTATAACCTTAAATTCTAACACACTCTGAGTTGCTGTGTAATTTATATTATTTACCCATCAGTAGCTGCGGCATGTGCTGAAAGTCTGTTCAAAATGACTGAGAAAATGTACTTCCGAAGAATTCAGCTTTCATTGTGTTTATCTCCCCATTGGCACATTTAAGTTTTTCTTAATGAATATTAAAAAAAAAAAAAGACTAAACAAAGGTTACAGTTGAAAATGAACCAGCTGTTATTTTGTGCTCACAGTTCAAAATTCATAATCTTTAGAAGCTTTTCTTCAGGCTAATGTGTACCGAGTGGTACAGTTGGTTGTTAATTGAAGCAGTAAGCTTCCTATTCCTCTTTGCTTACTACTCTGAATCCTTTCTGCTTAACCACCTGAAAATCTCCCAGAAAGTTGATTCTGTTCATCACTTGACAAAACGTTTCTCCCACTGAAAACGCTACGTCCAGATGAACAGAATCAGCTTTCTGAGATTTCCTTACTTTGATTGAACATGCAACAAGAAACCTTAAATCAGTGGTTCCCAAACTTTTTTTGCTAGACCCCCCCTTTGTTTTACAAGAAAAATGCCCCGCCCCCCCGCAAGCATGCACGCACACGCACAAACACATCCTCCAACCACACACACCCTTATTTTGCTCCATTGCGGTTTATTTCACACCTCAAACATTAAGTAAACAATTAAAAATTACAGGTAGTAATAAAATAAACTACTAACTCTTTTACGCTGCGTCCACACCTACACGGGTATTTTTGAAAACGCAGCTGTTTCGTCCACACGTAAACGGCGTTTCGAATCACCGAAAACTGTATTCCTCGTCCACACGTAAACACAAAAAAGGAGTTTTAAAAATCTCAGAGTTGGTCACGCAACGTCAAAGGTCTGTGCCTTTTTTCACATCACGCTGTGCGCCACGTTATTGTTTAAATGAGATGAATTGCAGAATGGCAGATAGTCAGATTAACAGTATTTTGTCTCTATCTGCAGGTTTTACACGCTTACATATACACACACAGTTACTGTCCCTCCATTTACAAAGGCAAAGGCGTCATGGTGTGATTATTTTACGTGTAGTTTTTTTCCTGTGTAATAATATTCAACATTGCTGTCAATAAATTTTTCAAAAAATGCCTCTCTGTGCAAAATGGGTTTAAAAACATAAACAGCTGTGGGATACTGTTAGTCCGTGATTTGAACCGAGGGAACAAATCGTGGCAGGATCAGTCTGATGTTATTTGTATCCCGCTGTAACTTTACTGTATAAAGAGCTAACATCTCCAAAATGTCAGCAGTAGTTAGTCATTACAACAAGTGTGTGTGTGTGAACTAAAAGTCAAGAATGTGGGATACTGTTTGTCCGCGATTTGAAGAGCCCAGCGCGTGCTCCCGACGAAGGGAAAAGCAATTCTGCAGGGGGACCTACCTCAGCACTTGTGCAGGTGAAGCCAAAGGGAAGATATGCTTCACCATATTTTTCTAGTCTTTGGCTCAGAATGAAGTTGGTTTGGAAACATATTCAGTGATGCTTCATCTCCTGCTTTGCGTTTGTGTGGGCGCCCCATGCTAGCAGTGTCCAAGCATTTTTCCCCCCCCGCTTTTCATACCGTGCCCCCCCTGCAATGGCTCTGCGCCCCCCCCTCAGGGGGCGGGCCCCACACTTTGGGAAGGTCTGCCTTAAATGGTCTTGATGGCAATAAAGTGATCAGTAGTATCATGCTGTGTCTTTGTGAAACACATAATACTCCAGTCATGGAAGCTCAGTTGATTTTTCAGAGAGAGCGTTTACTTCAGACACATTAAACAAGAAAAAACACTTTGCTTTGAATCTTTTTCAGGCTGACACACTGAAAGAACGATACCAGAAGATTGGAGACACAAAACGAAACACTCCCATCGAGGTCCTCTGTGAGAACTTTCCAGGTATGCTATTGATGGCTGTAATCTCACTTTTGGATCAGCTTGTGAGCCTTGATAGTGTGAATACTGGCTGTGATGTAACGTGATTTTTCAGATAAAATGATCTAAATGTCGTCCCACTACACAATTTGTACGGATTTATCCTCATGAAAGGTGAGAACATTCTTGTTGGTTCTGTGTAATACAGAGGAGATGGCCACCTACTTGCGATATGTGAGGCGGTTGGACTTCTTTGAAAAGCCAGACTATGAATATTTGAGGACTTTGTTCACGGAACTGTTTGAGAGAAAAGGATACACCTTTGACTACACCTACGACTGGGTTGGCAGGCAGATTGTGAGTAACGGATCACATTTTACATGTCAGTAATTTCACCTGTTTGACTGCAGAGCTGAATTCATTGTTATTCCCCTCAGCCCACACCGGTGGGGTCTGTCCATATAGACTCTGGAGCATCTGCAGTCACGAGAGAGAGCCATCCTCACAGAGACCGACCCTCACAGCACCCACCAATCAGAAACCAGGTACGTCCGGTTGAGCAATGGGGACCAGACTGCTTCTTGCTATGGTCCAGTGGATGGACCCATGGTGCATTACAGCCTGAAATTCCTTTTACTCTCTGTATGATGATCTCTTTGCCAAGCAAAGCTTATGTGCATGCAGTGACAATAGGATGTGCTATGCAAGTATTCTTTTGAACATCTCTTTATATTTAAATGCTGGAAAATTAGTTTTAAGGCATCAGGGCAAATTTATCCCAGTCATCTTTGGCTTTGTGTTTTTGGATTTACTGTGCGCTTTAGATATTGTAGATAAACTTTTGGCAAGTGTTTAAGACCATAAATTAAATTAAACTAAATTCTGGTTATTAAAAGCAGCCCACAAAGATGAAGGCTGACTGAAATAAAGCTTTGTAATCATTCACATATTCTACAGTGTAGAATAGAGACACTTAGGGAGAACTTTTTTGGGTATATATGGGTTTTGTGCCCATGTTGTCAGTGCACCTGCTTTTCGATGCTATTTGGGTGCTATAAATGCAAATTTCAGAGCCAGGGTTGAATTGTCGCAGTCTATGCTACAAATGAAGGACTTGAATAGCTGTTAGTTAGTCTGGTTGAATTTGATCTACAATTTTGCGTGTGTAAACGCATTTGCTTTGAATCCAATTTAATTCATTGCTGGTATGAAGATGAGCTGGAAAATAAATTGCTGGCTTTATAAAGCTCTGAGCATTTAAATAGGTTACTTGTTAGTGGTTCATGCTTATTTTTTTGTTATTCAGGTGTAATGAGATTGAGGCCAGAGTTTGAGACCTGTGAGCTTAACTCCATTAGGCTTCAGGCTCATTAGTTTCTGATTCAGTTTTATGGCTGAAGCCTTGCTATGATTTTGATTCACTTTTTTTTTTTTTTTCAATTTTGTTCATTTATTTTTTTTTCTTCTCCATATCTCATGCTGCTTTGCATGGTTACCTTGCCTCGCACACCCAAATATCCATCTTTCCTTCACCCCCCTCCCCTTCCCATTGCACTTTCAAACCCACTTCCCTTCACATCACCGACGCCACCCCCGATTCCTAAGCAGACAGCAGCCTCAGATCGACGAGGAGCATGGGAGGTGCAGCCCGCACGCCAAGCAAACTCCTCCTATCTGACCTCCCACCTGACAGCGGACAGGCACGGGGGCTCAGTGCAGGTATACACCCCTCACCTGATCAACCGGCAGCCCCCACCCAATCTCCATGGAGTCAGATCTGTCTCAAATAATCCAAACAAAGATAAATACACTCATAAATATGGCTTGTAAATGGAAGGGAAAGGCGCAAAGGCATTTTTGTGTGACACAATTTCTTTTTCCCCCTGCTTGGGGAAACGATATATTTTCAAGGGATTAGTCTTATTTTGAGACAAATATTTTATTTGCGAGTTAAACAACTATGAAAAATCATGTTTAGCAAAGTACTCAAGCATTTAATTCATATTATTATGCAAATTATTTTGCTACTGAACTGGCATTTTTATTCATCTTCATTATCTAAAAGCTCATAATTAATCGCAAAACACTGATATAGTAACTAATGCTTTATGCCAGACATGAATTGCATTTGTTAAGTGTTTTAGCTTCATGTGTGAGACAGATCTACAACCATATACCCCCCTCCCCCCTCCAACCCTTTTGCCCCTGGCTGGGAAATGTTAATTTTCTGCTCCACCATATGCATGTCATCTGGTGCTACCCACCCCAGATGGTGAAAGTGTGATTTAGCTTTATAAACAGCAGCCCTTCTTGGGGCATTTTGATCTCCGGTCCTACAACTCTTCATGATGCTTGGACATTCTTTGCAAGATCAAGAAGCCTTCTGCATGGCAGAACGACCTGGCATAGCTAGCTAATTGCATGCTTCTAAACCATTATAGGCCTTTATGCTTAAAGGAACATATTTTAGTAATTTTGTCTCCTAGCCCATTCCAAAGATTGTCTCGGTCTTCAACAGGGTTTGTATTGCTTCTGGGGATTCCTTTTACTAAATGGCATTCACTTAAAAATAGTTTGGAAATGTAAACATTTTTATACATATATTGTGAAACTAGATCATTCCCTGGAGTGCCATTGGTAGAAGCATGGCACTCTGTGAACACAGTGTGGAGAAAAGGGTGCTGTGACCAACGCAGTGGTCATCAGACTTGGCTTTTTCAGGCTTTATTATATTACACATCAGAATCAGTTATTTAACTCGTTTAAGTATAGATCATCAAAGAGCGAAATCTCTCTTGTCCTTTAATGCAAACGCAACTTATTTCCTTTAGGATAACTGCTACACTGTTACAGAAAGATCTTTTTTTTTTTTTAATGTTCTTTTTTCCAACATTTCGTACACAATCAGGTGTATTATCCTGATCTACTGATGCGTACATATTCAATCAGGTGAAAGTGTAAGGGGAAGTTGTTGGCTTTTTTTCATATATTTGGGCAAGTAAACCTGGAAGTTTACAGATAAACACAGATTCTTTTCTTTCTTTGTGTTGGGGGAAAAAAGTCAGCATATCAGCAAAACAGGTTTGGCTTTTAAAGAGGCAGGCAGGGACTTTCTGTTGTGTTTTTTCTTTTTTTTTTTTCTTCCTGTATCATGAAAAAAACAAAAGGAAGCCAAGTTAATATCTTTTTTATCACAAAATGTTTCCTTAAAAGTCATTATACAGCTCAGGAATTCTCTCTCAGTTCAGTGAAGGTAAGAAAAAAAGACTGAATAGGTGTGCTCGTAATTAGACACTCGTTCAGACATCTAGGATGTGCCTTTCTGGGAAACAGAGACGCACTGAGTGGAATTCAAGTTGAGATTTGATTTTACTCGTCTCTATGGTGCCTTGGCTCACATGTGTGAGCAATGCTGCTGACTGATTGCGTATGATAAAGTGAGTCCACAACAAGTGCGTGATGTGAAATGAAATTAAATGTGTGAGTAGACGTACAGTCACATTTAATTTTTTACAGTCTGGCTACACTTTACTACCCCACCATCTGCACTGCTAGTTTGTCTTATCCTATCTGTCCTGTCCTATCCGTTGCATATTCTCCTGTCAGGATTCTTATAAATTCAAACATTTGGGGAAAAAAGGATGCCTGAATGAGGTGTCTTTTTGTGCCTACTAGGCCCTGGGCCAATCAAAGACAGTAGGAGTAGATGTGTTTGGCACAGACCAAAGAGCTTTTCAGGAGAAGACCCACACACACAGTGTGAAGCATGTCGGTAGATATGGTTTGGGGTTTCTTCCCCAGGGACTAGAAAGCTAATCGATTGAACTATTAATCCTGGAGGTCACCTTTTAACAGTGTAATGATTGTAAGCACACAGCAAATCCACCAAGGCCGAGCAAGAACACATGGAGGGTTATGAGATTGGCTACAATAGTCACATTTCATATATGAAATATGTCTGGACAGTTGCATTCAAGAATGCATACAAGAAATTATTATTTATGCTTAACATCGCAATACTAGCTTGAAACCAAGTGTTTACTTCTTCTCGACAGGAATATTGAGAATTTTCATTGTGGTAGATCAAAGAAGATATGTTTGCTTTCCTAAATATGTCCAAAAAGCCAACAAATCCACTTCACTCCACTTTTCACGATCTATATGTGCATGTGGGTGCACACAAACCCATTTTTGTGACAAATAAAAACATTGCTTCTTTTTACAGGCTCAAGAATAAATGGCTGCTACTGGCATCTTGATTTTATGATTTGTCCTTCATCTAAACATGTTTTTTACAGAGCAGGATTACAGTCACAAGGGGTGTGACTTTTGTTTTTTTTTTCTCCCCAGAATTCCTGCTTTATTTTTAATAACTAAGAATTTTGACTTTCATCTCAGAATCCTGATTAGTTCTTCGCAGAACTAAAGAAAACGCCAGAGTTCTGAGGCTGAAAAGTAAAGATTCTGATTCTTTTTAGAATTCCGAAAAGGGTGGAAGAGTCATCACCCACGAATACTTATAATAAAAATAATGTTTTTTTTCTTCAGTGGCCCCAATCCTCTTATGTATGTTTAAGAAGTCCTTTTACGCATTTAGTTTTATTTTTAAGTAATGAGTCTATAGGTTTGCTGAATGGATTCCACAAGCAACAGAAAGATGTTGGTGCAGTTTCGCTTTATACCAGGGGTGGGCAATTGATTTTCCCAAGGGGTCACATGATAAACAAAGACTGCTGAGGACTGCACCAATAAGCTGAACTCAGTTCTGCTCAATATTAACTATTTCTTTGTTAGCTTACCAGTGCAGCCCTTCTCAGTAGTCCCAGTTTCTCATGGGCCCTTTGGGGAAAATCAGTTGCCCTCCCCTGTTCTATACAAATCTATTAAAATGAGTTTTCTACATGTAGTTGTAATTGCCCATGTTTGGTGAAGTCTTTACTTTAGTTTCAGGTGTGGTCACTGGTGAGACCTTGCCCTTGTATACTGTAGGGACACAGCTTGTTTGTTGATGGAAAGCTACAGCCCTGTATTTACGTGATATTGTAATTACTGCAATCTGAAATTTGCTTGCCTCCCTCCCAACCTGTGCTGTCTTTTGGGATTAAGTTTTGACTCTTGAAAGTCTTTTATTTTTTCTCTCTGGAGCATTTCAACATTCTAACTTTGGTGACTCGTTGCTGTTTTGGGGCAATATCGATACACTCTGATAACAAACAAGACTGTTTGTATGACTTGAAGCTACAAAATAGTAAAAAAAAAATATAGCAGAACCATTCACAGACTGCAAGCCAGGTTTTTCTTCATGTTGTGGGGTTTTTTTGTTTTGTTTTTTTGCTGCCACGAAACCAGTTTCTCCCAATACAAGCAAAACTAAATGAACTAGAGTATTTGTGTTAACTTGTTCTTTGTTAACCAGGTAAACTTTCTGTCACAGCAGTATCTGGTTTTTCCATACGTATCTGTTGTGTGGACACACATAAGTGGTTTAACTGAACTTAACACCAGTCTGTGTCACAGGTGGTCAGTTCAACCAACGGGGAGCTTAATGCAGACGATCCGCTGGCTGTTCATTCCAACGCCCCAATTACAGCTCCGCCAGAGGAGCATCCGCCCGACGAGGCCAAGTATGTGTCATATAGCCACCACGACTCTCTTCCATGTCCATCTGTCGCTTCCTCTCTTTCCCTCTTACCCTCCCTCTGTCTCCTTTTGCTATCGTCTGGAATTGTGACAGCTCCAGCCACCAGCTGTCATCTTCCACCTGCCCCTCTTATCTGTCTGGGTGTGTGGGTTTACGATCTGCAACCAGTCTCTATATCCCTCAGTGAATTTTCCTTTTCTGTAAAAATAAAAAAAGCCATTGTACAGTACTGTGCAAAAGTAAAAGCCAGCCCTCATTTCTTTAATAGCTCTTTGGAAATCACCCTGGTGGAGGAAAAAATACAAAACTATTTTATATCTATCAAACTATGTTATCTTTAAGATTTTTCCTAGATTCAACTTAAAATGGAAGCAAGTTTTGTTTTTACGATGGGCTGCTAGTAACAATATGCCTAAAGTTCTTTGCAAAGTTGTTTATGTGTAGACACAACACTAGTTCATCCTTTGACCTAGGAACCACTCAAGCATAAAATGACACATAACTCAGTGTTAAGTGGTTTAACATACTGAAGAAAAAAAGCAGCCACTGGCCGACAGAATGCCTGGAGAACTATTGCTCAAGAGCTCTTAAAAAATTACAGGGAAGCCTGGCTCCATGGCAGCAAAAAATAAAGAAATGAAGGGTTGCCTCAAGACTTCTGCACAGTACTGTAGATTAACCAATGCACCCCCTCATGCCTGTGCCCAGCCAATCAACCATTAACATAGACTACAATCTCTACAGCACACAAGTAGTGTAAAAATCATTGAAATTAGTGTTGGCACTGGTTTGAGCTGGTAGCAGGAACTAACCGGTAAATGGTGCCAGTCTTAAGCATCAGCAGCTGGAATGGTGCCACGCTGCATGGCTGGCCAGCCACTGAAAAAACTGCTGTGCAAGCTGAAGATCACACGGTTCGTCTGACTGACAAGAAGTGAGGGCAGCTCTTAGGATTCACACAGCTCTCAGACTAAACAGTATATAATAATGAGGAGATGCATAGTTTGAAACGGAAGTAATAACAGAAATGTAGGAATCAACTTTAAACACATTTTCTTTATCCACCATGCTTTATGCTATTGATTGAGGGAGGCAGCCATTCCAATTTAACTTCAGCACTGGACCACTTGACTGGTCTAGATTCAAGTCTGCGGTGGAAAGATTTATGATGCTGGGCCTATTTCATACAGCGCTTTCAGCTCCAAGTGCTTTACATTAAAGTCCAGACATCAAACAAAGTCAAATAAGACCAATAAAAATAGAGGAGTTTAAAAAAAGAAAAGAAATATAAGTAAACAAATTAGATTGTGCGTAACTTTTAATTTTACATGCAAATAAACAAAATTTGAGAAAATTTGAGCAGAGGATATTTACTTTTTACTTTTTTAATTTCAATTATTCACAAATTTCTTCAATTAAAATCAATTTTTAATAACCGCCCCACTGAGTAAGTAACCTCAGAATCAGCAACAGCCCAACTGAGCCTTAAAAAAAATGAAGTAGTTAACCCAAAAACAAAATTGTTTTGATGATTTTAAGACATTTCTGGCCGCAGCCTTCGGGCAGCTGCTCGACAGCTAAAACGTCGTGAGGACTGAACTTCATAGCACGTCCCTGACAAACTGTAACAGTGTGTATATATAAATAAATAAATAGTAAGTGTTTAACAGAACACCTTGCTGAATTGCTGGTCCATTTTATGCTCTTACTTCATGTAGTTTATGTATACACTGGTGTTCTAGTAACACATCAAAATGAGAGCGAGCGCACTATTGAACCCCTAAACACCCCAGGAAAAAAATCACTCATTGCGTACTGCGTTTTAATATGCTTTACATATAATTACTTATGAACATGTTTTAGATGAGTTCAGTTCAGCTGTCTGGGAAAGTTTAATGCTGAAGCGATTAACCATGAACCAGCTTTAACAACAGTGTTTATAAAGTGTCGCCTCCTGAATCTCCGAGCTGCGTGTTCTGTTTTTAATGTGCAGTCATTTCTCTCTGCCCAGATGGCCGGCCTTGCTGCTGTTGTCTCCTTTCACACAATTGCGTGATATTATGATTGGTGTGTTTTGTGCCCATCTCCTCTTTGATGCCCCATCAGACAAGAAATTTATTTTTATTTTTTTAATGACATATTGATGGCAAATTGATTTAAAATTGGCCTTATAGGAAATATTTGGTGTAGTTAAGCTGAAATAATACGACATTTTTATTCACAATCATGGACTCGGTCTAAAAAAGACAAAAGGCTGTCTTTATAGGACCAGTTTAAAATGTTAAGCCTCAGTTGCACAGCCCTAGAGACTGGTTGGTGATCATCTGGCAAACACAGGTTGCTAGGGAAAAATGTCTATTCTCCCCAACTTTATTGGCAAGTAGTTGCTGGCTGTTGCCGGCTTTTTCCATGTGAAAGTAGTCACAAAGAGTGCGTCGCAGTGAAAAGCTCGGTTTGGGCGCTAATGATACTGACACGGTCGTTTGTAGTTTGCATGAAACTAACTTGTCTGCAAACATTGAGCTGTAGTGGAACTAGGCCTGTGGGCCTAGAAACTGGTCCATTAGACTCTACAGCATCCTATGTCCAAAATAGGAGACAAGTTAAAGTCACATGATTAGTGGTCATGTGACTGAATACCCACATGTTCGGGGTTTTTTTTTGGTTTTTTTGCATTAATATTTTCACCTATTTATGGGATAGAACAAATCTAGTTACTTAATTGTTTTACTAAACAAAAATAGTTGCACTACATTATGTTAGTACTTGTTGTAGCATTAAAACGTCTAGCCACCCACAGTGCACATTTGCCCAGTTTAAGTGAGCACGTAAATGTCAACTCTTGTGGTTCATTGTGTTTAACATAGAAAATGAAGTAAGTATAAGGACACAATGATCTACGCACCAAGCAGCTTTTATTAAAGGATTTAACATTTTAGAAACATGCTCAAAACGTGATGCCGTATCACCCCCGTTCCCGGGAATTCTAGGAGACATAATAAGCTGCAGGGATGTTCTGTGACCTTCTCTGTGACCTTCTCTCTTTTAACCTCTCAACTTTCTGTCTCTGTGTCCACCTGTGTCCTGTTGGTGCGTGGGTGTGCATGTTTGTGTGGCATGTTCCCAGCCCCATCATCTCGGTCTCGCTGTATTAATCTATCTTTCTTTTCTCTTTACTCTCCTCCTGCTCCTCCTCCTCCTCCTCCTTCTGTAGCTGCGTGAAAATGCTCAACCTGTGGTGAGTCCCTCTCTGCTCGTCCACATCAGACTCATGGGACAGGGAGTGGACCAGCCTAGGCTGGGCCCAGTGGAGTTATTTACAAAATGTAACCAGACTCTCACTGGTGCATATTATATAGTGCCCACAAACACTGTCAGCTGTGTTTACTGCCAAGTTTCTGCCCGTTTTCTGCATTTAGTAAACCTTGCTGCCTGACAAACATTAATAAATAATATCAGGCCAGAAAGAAAAACTCTTTTTAATTATGGCTCCTTTATAACTAAACATTTGACTTTAGGTTACAGCCTTTTTGCATGGAACACCACTATTTGTTAAATATTAAATGAATCTGAGGGTATCCAGTCACTGTCCTATGTCCTAATCTGCTTTTTTCTTGTCTTTGTATGTTCTTATTAACCGTTCAGGCTCACCGTGTCCTGTGACTTTTGTGTTCACTGCTTCCTTTTTAATTTATTTTTAAAGATTTTACCTAGAAGTATTGCCTTCAGAGTCAGTTTGTAGTTTTTGTTCCTCTGCCATTTGTCTGTTAAAATGGTGGGAGGTGAATACGCAAACGCTTGGTGGATGGGAACACATCCATCGTGTCCATGTTAAGGTGTTACTGAGTTCTTACTGTTCTGGTTTAAAAGACAAAGAGATAAGACTCAGATGAGGCTCCTGTGATATTTAACACACTGCCGTGTTTGTTCTTTCTCGTGCTTCTCTCATCCACGCGCTCATTTAACGTCCACGTCTTTCTGCAGGTGTTGCTGTTTCTTCAAGCGGAAACGGAAGAAGAACACGCCACGGCAAAAATGATCACGCAGCACCAGCCTGAAACGTTCCAGCTGTTTGGCTCAGTCGATTGTGATTTTATTCGAAATCAGTAAGGTCCCGTTCAGAATAGAAGAGGGAGTCATCTGAGAGATCTTGATTGAATTGTTCTCCGTTTTTTGGACAAGTTTAAAAACGGTTTGCTGAGATGTACAAGATGCTTGTGTCTTCTTGTGGGATTTTTTTTTTTTTTTTGTTGTTGTCCTTTTTCTTCTTCTTCGCCCTCCACCCCTCTGTCAAGCTGTGCCGGGTTGTGTTGCAGGTCAGTCAGCCAAATGGGGAAAAAACCTTTCTGATGGAATTTTGCAGAGGATAATCTTTTTTCCTTCCTCCCCCAAGACTCCCAACATCAGTATTTTGTTTTCTCTTTTTTTCTCCTGAAGAGGAAGAGATGGCACCTCCTGTGGAAACTTGCTTCACTACGATTCCTGCTTGACTCATAAAATCATCATCTTCAGTTCCTTTCTAATCTCCTAAATGCATCCTGCCCTCAGTTTGCAAACTCATTATGACACAAAGCCCTTTATGATGATTCCTGATGTAGGAACTGAATGTAACACAAGAAGAGCCAAGAGTGTAACCGCCTATCGTCACATACAGGCACAAAGAGCATCAGTCTGCCATTTGGCCTCTGCACGTTATATTTTTTGTTGTTGTTGTTTTCTTTTTCCCCCCGTCCTCCAAAGAGGTCAACTCTGGCACTGGGACCGGGGCCTGAGACATCAGAAAACAGAGACGCCTCATGTACAGTGTTCTCTGCTCATGCTGCTTGGTTAAAGCGCTCCCCTTAACCTCGCTGCTGTCAAAACACACTACAGTCTCTTTGGACTCTCCTGCAGTTTTTGCTCCTACCCTTCGCTGAGCAGCAACATGACACTTGTAGATGCAGGGGGGTGGGAAAACAAATGCTATTTATGCTATTTATCTCTCGGTTTCCACCAGTTTTTCCTACTAATTCTTAAACATACGCACTGAATGTATGGACAGTAAAATAAATGACTTTAAAGCATTTATATAATCTGTCACGTGCACGGGAATGAAATTGCAGTTGGGGAGCTGAGACCAATGTTTTAAAAAAAAAAAAAAAAAAAAAGGTGACCAAAACTAGGTGGGAGGGTCTTAAATGTTGTTGATCTTGTAGACATTGGGGGATGCTTTGGAATAACATGAGGAAAAAGTGATGTGAGGCACTTTTGGAGAATCACAGCCTCTGAAACGCTTCTGTCCAATGCCTTAACCCCCCGACCAACCTACTGACCGACCAACCGACCGCAGTCACATCACCACTTGGATGACACGTTGGCGGCATAGTTAATGTGAGATTTCAGTGTCTTTTTTTTTTTTCCTTTTCTTTTTCCCGTCCCCTCCCCTTTTGGGTATCCTGTGTAATAAAGAGTACCAGACTGTTCCCAGCTAGTGTGAGAGCAGTTAACGACTTCCCCTTTGTTGACACACTGAAGATGTATTCCCAAGAAAGTGATGCCAAATGGAACGTTTTGGTGTAATGATGTGTAACGGTGTTCCAGATGTCCCCCAGATGTCCCCCGTCCCGCAGTTACCCTTGTGCGTACCAGTGTGAAGACCCCACGTGCTGCAAAGTGGTGACGTTTGGACGACTGCTGAACCCCCTTCTCCTTGTCAGCACCGGGAGAGGAGAAAAGAGAGGGCGGAGAAGTGAACGTGTCTGTACCATTCTCACTCTTTATTTAGTGTCACGGAGGACTGCCTTGAAACAAAATCCTCAGTACGTCACCTTGCCTATCCTCCTAACAGAATGAATTACCATATGTGTGTTCTTTTTCTTTTAAATTTTACATCTTATGCTAATGTGAATTTGTTGAATGCAATTTTTTTTTCATTCCAAATAGCCATGGTTTTATGGGGAAAGAGAGGTTAAACAAACAAACAAAAACGCTTGAGACCACGACTGCACTACATTTGTTGACCCCGGCTTTCCCTGACGAGACCCTGCCTTCTTAATACTGTACTTTAAATGTGCTTATTACTTTAATTGTAGCTGCCTCGTGTGCTAGGCCTTTATAGAGGAAACTAAAGGGAATACACACACACACACACACACACACACACACACACACACACAACACACACAAACACACACACACACACACACACACACACACACACACACAAAAACTCTCTCTCTCTCTTCTCCTGTTTTTTGCCCCACCCACTTTTTTTGTTTGTGTGTGTGCCATGACAGCTTCCATTCACTCCATTTCCCTCTGTCCACACACACACACACACACACTCATTCATCCAAGACCAAGATGAGTGGAGTTTCAGGTTTATCTCCATCATCTTTAGAAATATGATGTTGTAGATGTTGCAGATATTTCTCAATGAATCAGTATGTAAACCTGCTTGTTATATGTATTTACACTGTATAGCTTCCAGTTTATTTTTTATTTTTTTTAACCCCTGACATGTTGGTTACTCTGGGGTCTAAGTTATTGTGTTATTGAAAGTACTTGAATTTGAAAATCTACGGGACCTTTTCTTCTTTTCTTTTTTTACCCCTTTTCTTTTCTCGGGCGTTACCATAGTAATTCCACACATAGGATTTGAGGGGAACGGTGGGAAAACCAGGCTATCTGAATGACAGGTATTCATGTCTCTGATATGTCTTAATGCCTCTTAAAGTTTATTTTTTCCCAGACAAACACGGCTCGGCCATTTCATTCCAGCTGCCTGAGGAAAAAAACTCAAAGTATTCTGATATGGATATCCAGACTGTAGCCTTCAGTCTTTCCCCCCATGGATTTCCCTGACTGCCATTTCCTGAGACTACTACTAGCCCATGCCTTTTACCTGTGCCAGGAAAATATGAAGTTGAATGTTTTATTATTTTAGTTTTTTCTGTCTTTGGATGATTGCATTCCACCTTGTGTCCTTGAAGGGGTCCGCTGTCATTTTTGGGAAGAATCCTCGAGCAAACGTGGCTCAGCGCAGCAAAGCGTTGCAGTGAAAGTGTTTCACGAGTCGTTCCTGTTGGTTTCTTTCATTCACAATGTCACTGGAGAGAAACCGGACACCAGGTTTATTATTCCCGAGTCGGATGTTGTGACTGATCATCTTTGCGACATTTTCTTCTTCCGTTAAAGCTTGCGGGTTGTCCAGCTCTTCAGCTCCCGGCTGAAATGCTCGATATGTTACTCTGATGTATCCGCTTTTCTTACTGTTGGCCTCATGCAGAGTGGTATAGGAGTGCTCTGCGTGACTTGTATCTGCATGGCTTACCTGGAGACTATCTTTCTCTCTCTCAGTCTCCAGCGAATTTCCTCACCTGTAGGGCTCGTATACTGTTGGGTCAGTGAGTCAGTTTTGGCTTCCAGGCCTCATGTAAAATACATCAAACATTTTCATGTCTTCATTCCTTTTCAGTGGCCATTATTTCTTACACAGTTCACTTCAGTCAGACTTTGGATGTGTGGAACTTAGTCAAAGCAGAGGACGGTGTGAAGTGTGAATGAACGGCTTCGGTCTCTTTGGGTTCTCTGGCACTTTTTCCTCGTTGCTGTACTGTAGACTTACTGTGTGTTGGATTTACTGTATTATTTTATTTTATTTAATTTTTTTGAGGGAGAGGTGACATTTGCTACAATATTGTGATGATTATTTGAACTGTAAATTGTACAGAGTTCACAATTGTAGTCTGTTTTCTGTTGGGAATCCATATAAAATCGTATTCTCTGATCATTTTTTCCTTTTTCTGTTTTTTTTTTTTTTTTTTTCTTTCTTTCTTTCCCCCTGACTGTGGAAAATCAAATTGTACAGCTCCAGAGTTTATCCTCCTCCCTCGGCATTGGTTTTTTTTTGGGTTTTTTTTAGAGCCTATGATTAAGAGGAATCTTAAAACTGTAAATAAATATTATTGTGCTGAAATATGAATGTCACTTCAAAAATGTATTTGAATGAGTTAGTCAAGGGCTTCAAGAATGAAGGACCCACATTTCTTTTTATGGTTTCATATTTTTGATTTGCAGAAAGGTAAAGGTCCTTTTTATCTGAGATGCCTATATTTTATTTTGTGTTTTGTTTTTTTTTGTTTTTCTCTTTGGATTCATATAATACAATGTGTCACACATGAACCTTATAAAAATCACTTTTTATTCCCTCCACACCTAAAGGGAAAACTCCAATTTGCACCCTTTTTTATGTAAAATAAAAGATCTCTCCACCTCGTGGGCATGTCTCTTGTGACGTGATTTTTGTAAAGTCTGCTTCAGGAAATGTTTTGACTTTGATCAATTTTTTAATGTGTGTGACTTATAAACACAGCAGATTTGGACCTTCATATTCAAAAACCAGAAATGCTGTTTTCAGCTCAGTGTCTGCATAGGGATCTTTGAAGTTTTCTATCAGGTCAGCTGTTTGAAGACAAGTTTTACTTTGTTTTATTGTTTGACTGATAGAGGAGACCAATATTTTAGAGATATCAGCCAATATTTTTTTCCTTATGTGGAAGTTTTATACTGCCCTCTGGTGGACAAACAGTGCAACACCACCTCCTACAAGGTTGAAGGGTGTTTCTCCCATCTTTTTCTTAATTGTATTGGTTTGATATTAATGCTGATACCTATAGACTGGCAAATGTCTAATATTAGTCTTGCAAATAAGTTGGATGGGTTGATAAAAATTATACATTTGTGTCACAGCAGCCAAAACAAGAATGTGGCTCATAAAAATAAAGCTTTTACCATCAAATAGCTGAGGAAAGAAAATACACAAATTAGCTCACTTGAATTAAGATGTGGAAAGGTCAATCTGCAGGCTTTGAATTAGAATTGGAATTTCATAACAAACTCAGATTTTGCTCTTTAAAGGTTTTTAACACCATTATGGCCGGCCAATGTAAACGGACCATTTCAAAACAAACTGGTGCTGGAGGTATTTTGACAAAAGTTTCCTTTTTACATCTGTCACAATAAGGTATTGCACGTAGTTTTAAATGTCACTTCAGCAGCTTATCATGTAAGTTGTGAAATGGTTTTAATAAAGACAGGTCACATTTCTTTTTTAAATGTTTTTTTATAAATCCCTTTACTCCTAAGATTTATATTTTGTTGCTAGACAGCTTGAAAACTGTCACTTAGCAAATTAAAAATATATTAAAATATATTTCACGCTCAAAAATCAAATTTCATCTTGGACTGAGACAGTCTTAGTCCCTTGGGGCTGCTTTGCACAGAAAATATTTGAAAATAAACAAAAAATTTCATTTTGTAGCAAAATGTTAAACCTCTGAGCAGTGCACTCCAGGGTTTAATTTACTGTATCAGTCTAATTAGTTAAAAACATGAAATGGTGACTGTAATTTAAAAAAAAAATGTAACTGGTTCTCAATTTTTTTTATTGCTGCAAAGTAATGTATGCATATGAACGAATGTTTGTGCTGTTAAAGCAACTTGTCATCTGTAAGACAAAATTACAAAATTTGGTTCAAATCTCAAAATGTTGATTTAATTTAATTTTCTTTTGCATCAGTTGGAATTATTTTCTCAGCATTTCGAGTTTTTTAAGGCTCAGCTCAACACTAACCGTGACCCTGACACTAATCCTAATTCTAATGTTGATTTATTAAATTGAAATTTTGAGATAGAAAAACAAATCTTGATTTATGTGCATAACAAAAAAAATAGTTCACAGTAACGTGATGTGTTCTCCTCCCACCGCCAGGCGGCGACACTGCTCGCTACGCTGTAGCAGCGCAGCCTCTAAACTATAAACTTCCGGTGTGAACGTGCGTTAACCCTTTTCCACCGGTCCGAGCTAACATGGTGGGTCCACGGAAAGCATTTCATCTAGTCGTCCTCCACAATCCTTCACAATCCTCACTGGCTGTCCCGTCACCGAGCGCCTACTACCGTCAGTCTGCACACAGGCGACACGAAGATTTATAAAAGCGGGTTTTCGACGCACTTTGGTGGCGTTAACCATGTAAACACAGACTGACTGCTCCCGAAGTAACCGGGCACCAAGCCGCAGTTTCGCGGTGCACCTTTACGGGCAGTCGGCAACAGTTTGGCTCCGCTCGTGTTTGTATGCTTCTCATACCGAGTTAATGTCCGTTAGTTGTTGGAGGAAAGTTTGTTCATAAGGACAACTTGACTTCCGTTTAGCCGTCTTTACCGTGGCAATGTTTTGCACGGGGACTAGCTGCTCGGTGACTTGAGGATGGTGATGAGTTTGTGTTCAATGTACTCAAAATATGTTTTAACGTTTATTGGCCATTAATGTCTAAATATATAAGTTTCGTCTGTTAAATAAGTCGTTAAATGTGATTTATAGACGTTTAAACTCACTTGACATTCCGTCATATGATCTGTCACTACGTAATTTTAACATGTGACACACTTTGCCACTAAAAGCTGTCATACCTCTTCTCTTATGCCAAAGTTTTTAAACTCCAGACCGTGTTTTTTGGGGGAATCAGTGAAGATATTTGAAATTCCT